AAGAAAGAAAGAAAGAAAGAAAGAAAGAAAGAAAGAAAGAAAGAAAGAAAAATCAAAATATCTGCCTCACAAAAAGCAAAAACCCTGAAACTCTCAGCAATTGAAATTCAGATTTTAGATCACACATTGAAGTTTTTAAAGAATACTTTTATTGCCCAAGAGCAGAATGCGAGGAAAAAAGTAACAAGAAACTGCAGGGAAAAAAAATCAGCTTTTATATAAATTGGCCAAGACAAAAGCTACAAGCTATGCCAGAATTGAAGAAAGCACCAAGTGTTAATTTTGATTCATACCTAAAATGGCAGGACTCAAAAAAATTGCTCCATTGAAGCAAAAGGAAAGGGATCCTGTGGATAAAATCTAGGTGTTAAAGCCATTTAACCTCCCATTATACTTCCCGAAGAAACTTCAATGCCAGGTAATATTTCTTATGTCATTACTACAACTGCTGAAGTAGGATAATATGGAAATTCTTTTTTTTTTTTTTTTTTTTAATGGAGTCTCATTCTGTTGCCCTGGCTGGAGCGCATGATCTCGACTCACTGCAACCTCCACCTCCTGGGTTCAAGCAATTCTCCTGCCTCAGCCTCCCGAGTAGCTGGGACTACAGGTGTGTGCCACTATGCCAGACTAAATTTTGTATTTTTTAGTAGAGATGGCATTTCACCATATTGGACAGGCTGGTCTTGAACTCCTGACCTCGTGATCTGCCTACCTCAGCCTCCCAAAGTGCTGGGATCCCTAATATGGAAATTCTAAACAACCTCTTCTAGCTTCTGCTAGATGTTTCTGAGGATGTTTCTACATCCTCATGCTAGAATACTTTAGAGTACTCCCCTTGGCATGTACCACCCCAGCCCCCCATGACTCTGGCCCCTGACAGATACAACCTTCTTGGTTACAAGATTGTATTAGTTGGGTGGGATGAGTGTGTATGTTTTTAGAAGCCATTTATTTATATGCTAGTAAAAACTGGAGACTCGTAGTTGTGCAGTTCTTAGCTTTAGTAGTGTTCTATTGCTGAAATCAGCTTAGCTTCTTCTCAGAAGAATCTCAACACTCTAAGGAAACTTAGCCAAATCAAGTTGAAACTTTTGGGTCAGATACAGTCCAGTTGTTCTCATGTAGATACATAATGAGTTCTACTCTTCCAAAGAAAAAAAATGAGAAAAAAAACCACCAAAAATGAAAAAACTAAGAAATGTTAACTATTTAACAAAGTCTGATTAAAATCAAAACCTGGAATCCACAGGGCTACAAATGCGATACTGACATTTGCAAGGTATGTGTCTATAAAACAGTAATTTAGGCTGGGCACGGTGGCCCATGCCTGTAATCACAGCACTTTGGGAGGCCAAGGTGGGAAGATCACAAGGTCAGGCATTTGAGACCAGCCTGGCCAACATAGTGAAACCCTGTCTGTACCAAAGATAAAAAAAATTAGCCGGACATGGTTGTGCATGCCTGTAGTTCCAGCTACTTGGGAAACTGAGGCAGAAGAATCTCTTGAACCCAGGAGACAGAGGTTGTGGTGGGCCAAGATACGCCACTGAACTCCAGCCTGGGCAACAGAGTGAGACTCCACCTCAAAAACAAAACAAAACAAAACAAACAGTAATTTATGCATTTGAATCATTGTCCTGAAAACACTAATTCATCTCTTCTCCTAGATTTCAAATTTCATTGTCTTAGAGTTGAGAAAGTATAATGAAATAAAATAACCTCTGCCAAAATGACTACTGATAAGGAATATTCTTAGAACTGAACATTTTAAACCACTTTTTTTTTTAAGTGCTACTTGGTTCTTAAAAGGCTTATCTACACTTCCTCCAACTTTAAGTATTAATGACTTAAACTTATCAAAAGTTCCCAGCACTTTAGAAGGCGGAGGCAGTGAATCACTTGAGGCCAGAAGTTCGAGATAAGCCTGGCCAACATGGTGAAGCCCAGTCTCTACTAAAATGATAAAAATTAGCCAGGTGTGGTGGCGCATGCCTGTAATCCCAGCTACTCCAGAGTCTGAAACATGAGAATCACTTGAACCCTGGAGGCGGAGGTTCCAGTGAGCTAAGATTGCGCCACTGCACACAACCCTGGGTGACAAAATGAGACCCTGTCTCAAAAAAAAAAAAAAAAAAAAAAAAGAATACAAAATAATCTTAAGAAATAATTTCAGAATGCAAATAGCTTCAATTGACCAACACCTCCTCCCTGCAGATCAAAGAAACAACATTTTGTAGAGCTGTTCCCAATCTTTCCTGTTCAATTCCCCAGCCCCACCCACAGCAACCCTCTCATCCTCTCCAAACACAGAGAAGACTCAGACTATCTGAAGTGTGCTGTCCCATGTCCCCTCCTATCTCCTTTTTTTCCTTTGTGGCATTAGCCTCACCCCTCCTATCCTAAATCACAATTTTTTTTAGGTTTTTTTTTTTTTTTTTTAACTTTTATTTTAAATTCAGGAATACAAGTGCAGGTTTGTTACTTAGGTAAATGTGTGTCATGGGGGTTTGTTTTACAGATTATTTCATCTCCCAGGTATTAAGCCTAATACCCATTAGTTATTTTTCCTGATCTTCTCCCTCCTCCCACCCTCCACCCTCTGGTAGGCCCCAGTGTGTGTTGTTCCCCTCTGTGAGTCCGTGTGTTCTCATTATTTAGCTCTCATTTACAAAGGAAAACATGCTGTATTTTGTTTTCTGCTCCTGCATTTGTTTGGTAAGGATAATGGCCTCCAGCTGCACCCATGTTGCTGCAAAGGACATGGTCTCATTCTTTTTATGGCTGCATAGTATTCCATGGTGTATATGTACCATTTTTTCTTCATGCAGTCTATCACTAATGGGCACTTAAATTGATTCCATTTGAATAGTATTGCAATGAACATACATGTGCATGTGTCTTTATGACCAAATCACAATATTACTGTATTGTCATCCACCTTCTTTTCCTCCCTCTCAGGGGGATGAGGTGCTCCACTCCCACTCATACGCTCTTCTTCCCATCCTATTTTTCTGTTCATCCTTGTTCCATCATTCACTCCTTTTCTTGGAGCATCTTAAATCTCTCTTTCCTCTACATAAAAACATTCACAGGTTCTGTTATCCCTACCTTTTTTTTTTAAAAAAAAAAAAAAAGAAAGAAAAAAAAGGCCCATTCTTTACGCTATGACTTCTTTCACTTACCATCCTAATTTTCCTACCCTTATTATTACCATTTTCTCAATCAGCACCTCACATCTTCTCATCATCCATTTGCCCTTTACCTTTTGCAATCTGATTTCTGTCACAAAAAGTCCAGGAAAATTCTTCTTTCTAATGTCCTTTTTATTCATTCACTAAACAAATATGCATTGATTACCTACTATAAGCCAGTCACTGTTCTGGAAGTATAAATGTAAACATTGATAAAACTGAATCTTTGCCATAAAGAAGTAATTTGACAAACAGGAACAGACTTATCAGCCTAAACATTCTTGATTTCTCTGCAGAAGCATTTTAAACTATTGATTCACTATCTTTTCTAAAAAATGTCTTGGCTAGGTGTACTGGCTGAGGCCTCTAATCCCAGCACTTTGAGAGGCCAAGGCAGGAGGGTGGCTTGAAGCCAGGAGTTTAAGACCAGCCTGGGCCACATGGCAATACTCTATCTCTACCAAAAAAAAAAAAAATTAAATTAGACAGGCTTGGTGGTGCACACCTGTAGTCCCAGGTGCTCTGTAGGCCAAAGTGGGAGGATTACTTGAGTCCAGGAGGTCGAGGCTGCAGTTGCCAAGATTGCGCCACTGCATTCCAGTCTGGGGAACAGACCTAGACTCTGTCCCCAAAAAATTAAAATTAAATCAAAAAGTGCCCAAGTGGCATCTTCTATCATTTGTGAAGGTATTCTAGTTGTATTTTTCTGAATTCTCCTCTACTGGCTTTGCTAGCTTCTCCTTTGGCTCCATAATGAGGATTGTCTCTAAGGTTCAGGCCTGCTGTCCATTTCTTTCTATACTCTCCCAAGATGCTCTCATTTATCTTTTAGCTTCAGCTTTCACCTCTGTAGTTTTCTCCTCAATCTCTTTCCCTACAACTCAATTACTATCTTAAGAAACCATTGTACATGGGGATCAGTGGCTCACCTGTGATCCCAGCAGTTTGGGAAGTCAAGGCGGGTGGATCACCTGAAGTCAGGAGTTCAAGACCAGTCTGGCCAACATGGTGAAACTCTGTCTCTACTAAAAATACAAAATTAGCCAGGTGTGGCAGTGCATGTCTATAATCCCAGTTACTCGGGAGGCTGAGGAAGGAGAGTCACCTAAACCCAGGAGGCAGAGGTTGCAGTGAGAGGAGATTGCACCATTGTACTCCAGCCTGGGCAACAAGAGCAAAACTCTGTCTCAAAAAAAAAAAAAAAAAAGAAGAAGAAGAAGAAAGAAAAGAAAGAAAGAAAAGAAACCATTGTACATTTAAAACAAATTGCTGGAGAGCATCACAGAATATTTTATCTGCACATTAAACTCAATCTGCCAAAAACACACTCATCGTCTTTCCTAAAAAATCAGCAGTTCCTTTTCCAGACTTCCATCTATCTTCTGATTAAAAAATTTTAAATAATAATGGTTAAAAACACTTATTGGGCATTTTCTATGTGACAAGCACTATGATAAAATGATTTACATTTAGGCCAGCCACCGTGGCTCACGACTGTAATCCCAGCACTTTGGGAGGCCAAATTGGGCAGATCACCTGAGGTCAGACATTCGAGACCACCTAGCCAACATGGTGAAACCTGTCTGTCCTAAAGATAAAAAAAATAGCCAGGCATGGTGGAAGGCACCTGCAGTCCCAGCTACTCAGGAGACTGAGGTGGGAAAATCACTTGAACCCAGGAAG